AGCAAACATTAAATACATGTTAAATTAGATGTATGGGGCTGGGGATTTAGCTCAGTGGCATAAGCACCTGCCTTGCAAGCACGCAGTCGTGAGTTTGATCCCCGGTACCGATAAAAAAAAAAAAAATTAGATGTATGGCCTCTTTTTTCTCTAAAGATATTGTTTCTTAACCATAAAGCTTATATATTTCTCTGACTCTGTCTCCAACATCAGCACTGGGATTAGTTTTCTGAGACAGGATTTTCTGTTCGAGAAACAAGAAAAGTGTGAAGTTGGCATTGGGAATCTAGGGGACAACTTTTAAGATTCCTAGGCACCAAACTGCTTTGCCACTGCCACTGCCAGGATCCTTTTCCTGGGACAGACCCCAGGCTGGCGGCCCCTTCCCAGTCTGACTCTAGGCCAGGGTTTCCTGCTGCTTGAGGGGTGGAGGATGAGGAGGAGTTGAGGAGCTAGGTGGTAACCGTGCAGCCGCTAGCAGGCCTGCAAACCCCACAGGGAAAGAGAAAGCTCTTCAGAGTGAGCAGGAAGGTACAGTCCCAGAGTTATCCTGTCTGGGATCAAATCCTACGGAGTTAACAGATCTGGGGGCAAATCCGGGTTTGCTGGCCTAGCAGACGTGTGACCTAACTGCTTGGAGATTCAGTTTCCTCATCTGAAAAAGGGAAATGATGCGCTTGACCCCGCAGGTCTGTACAGACATTACATGAGATAGTGACGTAAGTGGTTTGACCCACAAGTGCTAGCGAGTGCCCGTCAGTGTTACGGTGGATGTGAACGGAAGTGGGGGCCAAGCCAAGAACTCCAGCTTTGGCTAGGGGAGGGGATCCACACCCCCAACCTTCAGCGGGCACCACAGGAGAGAAGTTTCTCCAAGTCTGCTTGAGTGAGGGAAAGACCCGAAGCACGGCGTGAGCAGGGAAGCTCTTCAGACACACGGAAGAATCCCTTATCCAGTGTCCTCCTCCTGCCGCCACCTCCTGCGTGGCCTCACCGGGCACTTTGGTGGTGCTTTGTCACTTTGCTGGGAGCCTTCCGGCCAGCAAGCTTCCCTGTCAAGGCCTCTTCCTGCCTGCCCCCCTTGCTCCCCCCTCTGGCCTCTGCCATTCCCTTCCCTCTTTTGTCTCCTTCCCTTGCCCTGTGCACAGCCACATCTCACCCATCTGGCCCTTTCCTGTGGCTAGAGCCTTACTGTGTCCCTCCGTCCCTGCAGGCCTGGCCCTGGACAGACTCAGTGCCCCGGACCCAGCCTGGATGGCAAGGCTGTCTCTGCCACTCACCACCAATTACCGAGATAACGTGATGTCCCCAGATGCTGCAGTCTCAGAGGAGCCGAGGACCTTCCAGACCTTTGGCAAGGCAGCAGCAGCACCTGAGTTGAGTCCAACAGGCACGCGGCTGGCCAGCACCTTCCTCTCAGAGATGAGCTCGCTGCTGGACATGCTGCTGGAGCAGCGCTCCGGGGTGCCCGTGGAAGCTGCCTCCGAGGCACTGCGGCGGCTCTCAGTCTGCGGCAGGACTCTCAGTCTGGACCTGGCCACCACTGTGGCCTCGGGGACGGAGGTGCTGGGGGGCACTGTTGGAAAGAAGGGGGCTGAGGACAGGAGCGGAACTGGCAGCAGCAGGTACCTGTGAGCACAGCCAGAGGCCTCTGGATACAAGAAACAGATTCCTGAACATGCTAGACAGCCCAGGCCCTGAGGATCAGGGGGACATGAGCTGTTTCCTAAAGTTTTGAAACATACTGGTCAGAGCTGGCCCCAGACCTTCAGGGTGACTACTGCTGGCCAATAAAGAAGGCAGGACCCCAGCCAGGACTAACAGCTGACTGAGCAGAGTATCCCCTTGTGAGGGACTCTGGGAATATTTTGGAGGACAGGGACAGTGTGGCAGAGGTGTTTGCTGGCGAAACACAGTGCACAGGCCAGTCCTCAGTGGAAGTGGATGCCTCAGAGGATGGCAAGGAAGGTAGCTTTGTTATATACCAGAGGCAGAGAACTAGATTCTGGGGACACCAGGCAATGCTCTCTGTCCTATGAATAAAGGAAAAACAGCTGCTCCTTCTCCTGTTTGCCCCACTTGAGAGTGGGGAAGGAATTGTAACAGAGTGAGAGTTGTTCTGCGTACCTGGCAAGAAAGTCACGCTGGGCTTGACAGGAGCGGGGAGTGCGGGGCAGCGGCAGGCACCTGGGTGGGGCGCGTGTGCGCTCTTGACCCCTCTCCCCTGGTATCAGGTAATCTGCCTCTCAGCTGGAAAACCAGAACTAAAAAAGGCTCACATCAGTGCTCTTTATTTATATGAGCCAAGCACCAGGGTTTACAATAGGACTTCATCTGACTTTCCTGTGATCCTAGGAGGGAGGGATTCTTACTCCCCCTTCAGAGACAAGCACAAGAAGCTTGGAAAAGTTGAGCATCACTCCCAAGATTGAACAGGAATAGATGCAAAGCTGGGATTTGGACCTAGGCTGGCCTGACACCAAACCCACATCTCAACCTTGGCACTAGACTGCCAGCCAAGGCATGGAAAAAGAAAAGCCCCATGAGTGAGTTTTTGCCAGTTAGACAGTAAGGAATCGCTGAGCTCCCCCCAGGAACACTGTTGAACTTCCCCAAAGCCACTCAGAGTCACACAGCGCTGCACTTGTAAAGCACAGGGTGGGAGGAACCTGGATCTGACCTGCTGCAGGCCCTGCCCATCCCCAGAGAGTAGCCCTTTCAGTGCAGAAGTCTTCATTCCTAGACCCTGTTTACTAGTAAATCTTCCTCCGTTGTAGCAGGGTGAGCCCTGTGAATCAAGGCCCTAGAGGACAGGGTATGAACTGGGTCTTTGAAATCGACACTGACAGCAGCCAGCCTTCCAGGGAAGGGGCAGTGAAAAAACAGCAAATGTTTTCCCAAGGCTCAGTCTTGCAATTTTCTTGGAAATTTCCAAGCAGTCATAGCTCATGAAGAGAGCGGCGCTCTCCTGGCCATCAAAGACAGAAGTTCCTCTTCCTGTCCACCCCCCAGTGCTGCAGCTCAGTGCTCAACAAACACCCCCTAGGGTGTTTGGGTAGGGGTAATGAAATTCACATATCTGGGGTACAGTGTGGCATCATTATTACATCTTACAGGTGAGGAAAATGAGGACCCCCAAAGTTTAGCACTTAAAATTTCTGATCACATCACTCTGAGTGAGAATGATCTGAAAGATCTGTGATTTTCGAGCTGGTTCATAAGGCTGGGTTCTGCCGATCACTGGGAAAGGCTAAGGGAAATCAAGAGGCAGGGTGTCCAGTCTGACCAGGCAGACACCTCACACAGAAGGACATTCGGTGAGTATCTGCTGAACAGCTCTGTGAATGAACCAATGCGTAAACCAAGGGATCAGAGTCTCCTGGTATCTGTACTGAATCTCCAATTAGGACTACACTGGGGGAAAAATGGCCCCATTATGTAAAAGCAAAGTCTGAAAACCACAGTACTAAAGGGGGCCATGAAAGAAAGAAGGAACAGGGGCTGGGGATTTAGCTCAGCAGCATAAGCGCCTGCCTTGCAAGCAGGTAGTCCTGAGTTCGATCCCTGGTACCGATAAAAAACGAAAAAGACCAAAAAAAAAAAAAAAAAAAAAAAAAAAAAAAAAGAAAAAGAAAGAAAGAAGGAACAAAGAAAAGAATAAAGTGGATCGTGCTAACCTTCCACCATTAGCAGATTTGCAATGCAGAACTGACACTGAGCAAGTGGAGAAAAGAAATGGGCTGGGGGTGGAGGACACCAGAACCATGGCTACAACTGGGTCACTGGATTCACTGAATCACTGCAGCACCATTCCAGTCCTAAAACTACAGTCCTTGAACTCCCCAAATGCCAGGTATAACTTTGTGTGTATTTATTAAACAGAGGGTACAAAGTTCTCATCAGTGTCCCCAGGGAACACTGTAGGTTATTAACCCTGCTATAGGACACTATCTAAACTTCTACAGGTGTGTTGTTGTAGTAAAGGAAGATGAACTTTAGCTCTTTCAAACTTTCATTTTATCATCAAAGACACAAAAAGCAGCAGCAGACTTGTCCAAGGCCACCTAGCAGGTTTGTGGGATCTGGATCTGGGATTTAGAATGCTGTTCCTTGCAGTACATCAAAGGTTACTAACCTGGGGTCCTCAGCTGGACTCCCAGATCTTATGAATCTGCTAAACTGCCTGCAAAATTGGGAGGATGTGCATTTTTCTTTGGGAAGTAGATGCTTTCATCACATTCTCACGGGGGTCTGTGTCCTGAGATTGTCACTGCAGTGCTTGACATTGGTCCTCAGTCCTTCCTGCTCCGTGGAACCTGGAGAACTGTGCAGAGCTGCCCAGATCCAAGGCAAATGATCTTTGGTCAGGGTAGGGGCTCTCTCCTGCACCATGCACCCGCTCCGAGCATGCTGACACCAGCACTTTCCCCAGTCACAGGCTGAGAATGAGACAGTACATATGGTGACAGAACTGGGTGTGCTGAACAGGAAGGTTACAGAAACTTCTTGACATCAGCCAAGATGTCAAAGCTGAGACTTTGGACATGTTCAAAACAGTTTCCACCAAGATGGGCTCTGTCTCCTGGGAGATTTGAGAGAGCAGGCGAGCTAGCAAGCACTCAGTTAAATGTCGTCTTAATTTGGAAAGCACAGAGGGACTTTTTTTTTTATCAATAGTCAGCCGTTCTTGAGCCCCAGTAGTGTAACGCAGAGCTCACTCCAAGCCTGGGGCAGCTCGGGGATTGACAGGCAGCTTCCTTGTCTGTCACCTAACTTCAGCTTGGCAGCTCACTGACCCTACCTTTCCTCGGCTCAAGCAAAAGTGAAATGGCAGCTACCACCTTGGGATTCTAGAGAAGCAAATCCCAAAGAGACAAGGTGGGGAAAGCGGGAGCCTTAGCACGGGCTCAGCCTGGCACACAGTGTGCACCCAGAAAATAGCTTGGGCCTTCCAGCCCCTTCTAGGTATTGATATAATGGAAGGACACAAACCATCAACATTCATTCAATAAACATTTCATGTTTATTTATTGAACAATTGCTAAGTGCCAGAAAGTACAAAGTACAAGGATCAACAGTTAGGGGAAGAGGGGTTTTGGAGTCATCCATTCAACATTTAAAACACTTACTAGTTTTGCGTAGGTTTTGTTTTTTGCTTTTTGTCTTTTTTTTTTTTTTTTTTTTTTTTTGGTACCAGGGGTCAAATTCACAACCTTGTACTTGCCAGGCAGATGCTATGCCTCTGAGCTATATCCCCGGCCTATTCTGGGTAGGTTTGTACTGGGCATTAGGTAGCACTGCAGTGCAAATAATCACTCTCGCTTGTTAAATAACTATTTCCTGAATATCTGCTAAGTGCCCTGCACTGTACTGGCCTGGAAGATCCAACAAATCAAATGGCTTTGTTCCGAACATAGTGTCAGGGATCCCTGGAAAGAACATCTCCACACAGGGAAACCAAGGCAGCAGAGTTTTGCTCAAAGGTCTCATGAATAAAGGCCCCAGGCCCTGATCCTTAGTCCACCACAACTCTGAGCCACACTGGTCTGAAGTGGGGCCACCTTCTGTCCTCCTCCCACATTTCCCCACAAGGCACTGTGACAAGTCGTTAATACAATCATTTTAATGGCAGATGCACAGCAGTTCCCCAGGCTGCCCACAAAGTGTCTCCTGGGGCTGAAGCAAGCCCACAATGACTGCACAGCCACGGGTGTTTCATCCCTGACGTCTCTTCAGCTTCCACCCTTCCCTCTCCACCAGGAGAGGTTCTTCCTTTTCGGCTTGGAGAGCACAGAACTACCCCACTGTACCTCAGGTTCCCCATATGGAAGCCACATTTAACTTCTAGGGTCTGCATGGAGGGAGGGCGGCACAGGGCCATCCCCACAGACTACCAGGTCTGCCCTCTGCGGCATGTGTGGTCCCAAGGGTGGGCAATCAGGGCCCCAAATGCCCCAGGTGAAAAGGCGACTGGTAAGTGTGGCATCACCAGGAGAGAAAGTGGTGATATTTCCGAGGGTACCCAGGAAAGAGGCAGGCTCTGTCTCAGACCAGTGAGGCACACACTGGGTTAACTGTGTTTTCACCGCAGGACTTCTTGGAACCTGGAATATGCTGATGTGTACTGTGAATCTATAAAAAGGGGATGTCTAGTGCAGTGTTTCCCAAACTTATTTGACCACAGAAATTTTTTTTTTTTTTTTTTGGCTGAGATATTAGTGCACTACAAGGCTTAAAACAGCACTGAGCCGCTGCACTGTACAGAACACTGCCAGATGCTGAGATGCTGCAACACAAAGATGGGGCCCTGCTACCAAGTACACCAGTGCGGGAGGTGGCCACACGAGGGGATGAGTGAGAGCAGTGTGCAGGGCAGCCTGGGAGGGGCCAAGATGGGTGGGGGGCTCTGCTGGCGAGCGAGGTTTCACAAAAGTGCAGAATGCAACTCTTAGGAGACTGGGAGGTGAGGGTTGACAGCAGAGGGGGAAGGTGGGTAACATTCTCCCCAAAGCCTCCCTCCTCTGTACTGGCCAAGCCAACTGGTTCTTCCTTGCAGTCACTGGAGGAGCCAGGCCTCAGCCCCTCCCCTCTACCGTATCTATGTACTGAACTTGGGCTAACATCCAGAAGCAGGGAACAGCTATTCACAAATTCAGTAATTGGAGTCATTAGCGTTGACTCAGAAATCATTTTTTTTCCCTAAGTCTCTCTCCTGGAGAAGCTTTTAAGACCCTTTAATTGGTTAATGTAGAGTTCAGAGATGAGGATGGAGCCTTGCCTTTCAGCCCTCCGTCTTGTCTCCCTGGCTCTCACCAACACACTCAAGGGCAAGAGTGATGAGATAATCCACGAGCTATTTTATTAAATGCCCATATACTTCTGGCTCACCTTTCTTCAGGGAGGACTCGCAATCTATACTCTCCAGCTCTGAGACTCCAGGTGTCCAATCTCTGTTTCCTCCCTCGTATCGCAGGATGACAAGGACGCTTTCACACAGAATGGCAGCATGAACTGCAGAACAGCAGTCAGGGCCAGGAGCCGGGAGGCCCGGGTCCTCATCCTGCTTTCGAGTTTCACGAGGCTGCGTAATTGTGAGCATCACTCTGCCTCTGAGAGCCTAAGCAAACACCGGGGTCCTTTTAGCAGTGCAATGCCCAGCATCGGCCCCATGGAGGAAGGAGGGCACACACCATGCCCTTGGTCTACAACTGAGGAAACGGTATTAGCGAATCAGATCACCGCTGCAAGGTGACATGGTCAGGCAGGCGGTGGAGCCAGAACCAGATCTGCACATATTCCCTCCTCTTCACAGTGCTGGGGAGGGTTCGAGGGTTTGGGGACAACGAATAGATAACTGGCATCTTCGGGATTCAAGTCATGATGGTCTGAGAACTCGGAGGCTCCATCATCAGGGCTGAGGCGAGGTCTGAAAGAGTCAAGCAGACAGTGCAGCATTCAGGGAAGCAGCTCCCTTCTGCCAAACCAAAGATGAAATGAAAACCATCGTGAATCCTCGGGAATGGGCACATCCGAAAGTTGGAGCCGGTCTCAGGGACAAGTTGATTCAGTGTTTCCCAAGTGCCAGCCATTCATAGAACCACCCCCACAACTTCTGCCACCTCTCTGGCTCTGTTCTCCCTTTGCACAATGTCTTTCAAGTTTTTTTTTCCCTCTGCTCCTGGGATTGAACCCAGGGCCTCACATGGGCTCAGCAAGTGCTCTACCAATGAGCCATCCTCAGCCTCTTAGTTTTTCCAGTGGTACTGAGAATCGATCCCCGAGCCTTCACACGGAGCTATAACCCCAGCTCTTTATTTTTTATTTTGAGGTGGAGTTTGCTAAATCACTCCACTGTCCATATTGGGCTCACACTCAGCCTCCAGAGCACTAAGATGACAGGCTTGCATCACCATGCCTGGCTCCTTGCCCTTTTTAATTATTTTTTTGAAACAGGGTCTCACTAAATTGCCTAGGCTGGCCTCAAATTTGTGATCATTCTGCCTCAACCTCCCAAATAACCACTAAAATAAAAAATATTAACTTGCAGACCACCTAAAATTTTCTTGTGAAATATCAGAGGCACGCTGGGAAGCGACAGTGTGGTCTGGGGGCAAGGAAACAGGCATGAGGATGGAGAGGGTCAGTGATTTGCTCAGAGTCAAAGGCCAAAATGAAAAAAGGGTCTCTGTACCTTCCTGCAGTTTTCCAGAGGCCACTCAATAAACCCTTTCGGTGCATGGACCAGAAATAGCTGAGAATGCACCCAGGCCTACCTGTAAGGCTATAAAATGGGGAAATGGTCACAGTGTCTGACAGCCACACACTTGAAATGAGTACCTTAACTCCCAATGGAGAGGGACAGTGACACCTCCTTCTGTTCTCCAACCTGCCCCCCACCCAACCCCAGCGACTGTTTTATCTCACCTTATCCAAAACCCAGTCTTACAAGACTTCTTTCCAAGTTGGGGACAGCGCTGCTGCGGGTTCCCCGGCTGCCTCCGAGATGTGGGCTTCTGCACGGGCAGTTGAGGTTCCCCGTGCTCCACGCATGAGGCAGGTCTGAGGCGCCAGCCAGCAGGGAGTTCAGTCTGCAGAGGGAAGGGCTGGAGAAAGACTTCAGTCCTGTAACTGTCAGGTGGCTGGGCCTAAGAGCTGCAAGAAGGGTGACCAAATAAATAAAAAAGAAGGGGTGACAGCAATGCACACTCAGGTAGTATTCTTAGACTTCTATTTTGGAGCAAAAGATTCTCCAAAGTCTTGGCTCCCCGGCACTGTTAGCTCAACCCGGCCTCAGAGTCTCACAAATGGGTGGACCTTGGAGTCCTAGAGAAGTCACTCAGAGTGCCCAGGGCACTGAGCCTCCTGAGACCTCACCGGAGCAACCACCATTTGTTGAGTACCTACTGCGTGTTAGGCTGTGCTAAGTCCTTTGTCATCAGCTCGCTTAATCCTTCCAACAAGCTAATGAGAGCCTCAGTCACCTAACACTATTGTCATTTTCACAGATGCAGAAACTAAGGCTCAAAGACATGCAGTCCCAGGTCAGTTAAGGCCTTGACTCTAAAGACTGTGCTCCTAACCATCACTGGGGACAGAAATGACAAGGAGTCTGGGGGCTTATTTCACCCTGTCGTCTCTCACGGGGCACCGAGTTCAGGAGAGGAACCGTGTTGACTTGGACGGGCATCTGTACCTGCTGCCCCTGTGGAGAGGAGGGTCCGCAGCCTCTGCTGGGCAGGCTCATTTCCCAGAGCTGCTGACTGCTGGTAACACCTCACAGCCTCTCCCAGGTTCCTCTGCACACCAAGGCCCTTCTCATAGCAAATTCCCAAGTGGTATCTGCTCTGTGAGTCCTGGAGGAGGAGATAGACAGACATGAACAGGAATGAGGAACTGAGATAGCCAGGAGCAAGGTGAGTCAGGCATGCTGGGACTTCATCTAAGGCAGGGAGAAGGCCCAGCCCAGGGCCACCACATTCCAAGGGATCTCAACCATGAGACCCCGCAGCCTGAGCGCACCACACTCAGCCAGAGCCGTGTTGGACCCTCTCACGGAGCCGGCTGAAAGAAGCCTACAGAACTACTCAGCCCGGTCCGGGACTCCTAGAAGTGTGTCTCCTGCACTGTCCTGAAAGAGCAAGAGGCCACAGCAGAGGAGGGGCCACTCCCGGAGGCCTCTCTGCCCCCTGACTCTCTGCATGAGGGCTGAGAAGTGCAAGTGACAGAGCGAGGGTTTCTCCTCCCCTACAGATGGAGCCCTTTGGCCCAGCTCTGGGGCTGTGCTGCTCTGAGGAGAACAGGTGGGGTTAGGAGCCCAGGCTCAGCACCAGTCAGCCTGGTTCCAAACCCGGCTCTGCCACTCATCAGCTGGCTACCTCAGACATGTTACTCTACAGCTCAGTGCTCAGTTTCCTCACCTGTACAGCTACGATAGTAACAGCACTATCTTAACTAGGTTCTGGTGTTACAATATGAAAAGTACTTAAGATCAGTACTATTATCATCTCCGTTAGTTAATCTCTCCTTCTTGACTGAAATATTTTCATCATATGAATCTCCCAATTGAAAAAGAAAACTAAAACCTATTCTGTGGTTTTAGTCATGGGCCCATTTCTCCTCTACCCTCCAACAGTCAGATTTCTGCTACAATTCTGCCTCCACTTCTGTGCCATGCAGGTAAAGTCTCTGCAATTAATGCAGTAGACTCGGGGATACAGCCAGGTTAGGGCACAGCTGAGGGAAAGGCACCCCTGGAATAGAGCACTGCTCAGTGCTCAGCAGGCCCAGGAGACGTGGTTCCTGGAGGTGGGAAGGTATGAGCCTTGGGCGCTGACATGAACAGGTGACAGGCACTCCTCTGTGCACTTCTCTTCTGAGCATGTTGGCCTGACAAGGGGGGCTCAATGGAAGAACAGACATAGTTACCAGGTACTGACTGGCTGGTGACACCGGTCCCCTTCAGACAGCTGTCACAAATACTGTGGGGAACAGTGTGGACATGGCACAGTACTCTGATACCCAAGGGGTGCTATGCGGGGCAGGCACTCTGCTTGCTCTAATTCAGTACTCCAGCCCTTCAAGGTACAAATAAAACCAGATACTGGTCTACCACAGTTGAGGAACTCAGCAAACCACAGATCATCTTCTCGATGTTTCTCAGTTACATAAAGCTCTAAGATTTGCTGCATCAAAGATGGCTATATCCCTGTAATCCCACCGCTCAGAAGGCTAAGGCAGGATCGCTGCAAGTTCAAGGACAGCCTGGGCTACATAGTGAGTCTGAGCTGCATCGTGAGACCCTGTCTCAAAATCGAACAGAACAAGGGGCTGAGGATTTAGCTCAGCGGCATAAGCCCCTGCCTTGCAAGCAAGCAATGAGTTCGATCCCTGGTACCGATAAAAAATAAAAAAAAAAATCAAACAGAACAGATAGCTGTTTAACTCAGTGCTTCCCAAACCCAATAACCATGTTTCCCTTAGCGGTAGTGGAACAAAGTCTTGGATCATCCAGGCTGTATTTCATAGACAGTCAGACACCCTTTTTCCTCACAACTGCTTAGTGTGCCCACCTTATGTGTCTGACTTCTGCAGACCAGCAAACAATGACACACTCATTAACGGCTGGTACAGCTTACAAAGTATTGTCACATACCTGCTCATCAGTTTGGATCTTCCCAAAAATCCTGCAGGGTAGGAGATGGATATCACGTTGCTGTTGGGGTGTGTGTATGTGTGTGTGTGGTACTAGAGATTGAACAACTGGACCCAGGAAGCACTAAGCTACAACTCAGACCTTTTTATTTTGAGACAGGGTCTGGCCAATTATGCAGGCTGATCTTGACTTTATAATCCTTTTGTCTCAGCCTCCCAAGTAGCTGGGATTATAGGAATGTACCATCAAGCCTTGCTTTATGTTGTTTTTACTGAGCAATTTTGTTTCTTTCTTTCTTTTTTTTTGTACCAGGGATCAAACTCATAACCTTGCCTTTACCAAGAAGACACTTGTGCCACTCAGCTAAAGCCCCTCTTTTTAGCTTTCTTATGTCACTAAGCATCAAATCCAGGGCCTTATACATGTTAGGCAAAAGTTTTGCTACTGAGCTCTTACGTTACTTTTAAAGACAATGCAACAGATTTAAAACAAGAAGTGCCCCATGCAATAGTGTGCTGGTAAATATTTAATAACAGGGTAGAGAGAAACCCTGCTATGTAGAATTTAACAGTATCTGTGAGCAAATGCTCCAACTCCAGCTGATTTTAAGCACTTAGAGGCCATTGGACCTGCTCAAGAGTCACATAGTAAGTCAGCAGGAACGAGTTTGTTGTCAGCCCATGGCTCCTAGCAAACCACAGCCTAACCACAGAACTCCATGCCAGCTCCCAAGCCCCTCCTCTGGTCATACTCGATCTTCAGCATGCCTGAGTAACACAGATCGCATACCCCATTGCTGGCTGCAAGCCACAGATACTTCACAGCTCTGTGCTCATCCAGGTATGGCTCCTTGGTGAAAAGCACCCCGAGGAAAGCTTGGGCCTATGGCAAACAGTAAGGAAAAAGGCATTCTGATCACTCTCAGTTCCGTGGCCCTGACACCCAAAGGCAGACCCTGCCAACGGTATGCACCTCTGTCAGGCCTGAGTCTGCAGCCTGCTTCAGCATGGACAGTGCTCTCTGTCGCTCAGGGTCCCCTGAGGAGGCTGGGGCTTGCAGTAGACACCTGGCATAGCGGTACTGAGCCAGGCTGTGGCCCTGGCTGGCAGCCAACTGGTAATAAAAGATTGCCTAGGGCAGAAGAAGAAACACCCAGTCTGCTAGAAGCTCTCTAAGCACTTTTTCTCTTGAGTGAAATTTTAAAAAATAATACATAGTCATTGCAGATTAATCAAGAAATACAGATCAAGCCAAAATTTAAATATACAAACATAAATTCCAAGGAATCCTGTCTCCTAAAGATCATTCTCCATTAAAATTTTAGTGTACAGGCTTACAAATTTATTCTCATAGATATATTAAATATACACAGCGACAAAGAGACAGAGTCATTCACCATGAATGACTTCCCCTGCCAATAAATATTCAGCACATCACTTAAGGTCTACATAGATATAATTATCAGTTCTGTACTAAAAGAATGCTAAGTTGCTGTTCCTATTTTGTTTTATTTGGTTTGGTTTGGTATTTTTTTGTCTTTTAGAGACAAGATTCACTACACAGTTCAGGCTGGTCTTGAACTCACTTTGTAGGCCAGGCTGGCCTCAAACTCACAGCATCCTCGTGCCTCAGCCGGCTAAGTGCAGAGATTACAGGCACAGTGCCACCACTCCTGGCCTGTTTGTTTGTTTTGTTTTTTGTCTTCATATACTACTCGAAGAAACACATTCTTGTATGTAACATCTTTGTGTACTTACGCTGCTTTTAAAGAATTAATCCATTTATCAAGGTGCTGCTTCAGGCTGAGGGTACAACTGCAAGATGCCTGCTCTGAGTTTTGAGTCTAAATCCTTAGAAGATAGGAACTTACTCCTTATTTTTATTTCCCAGCGAGGCTTCAATCAGGTCAGAGAAGTCAGACTTTCCTCAGCCCCTGCTCACTGCCCAGTTCTGGAGCTCCCTCTGGGCAGCTTGAGAGACGGGACAGTACCTTGTGGAGGTCTCTGTGGGTGCCCCTGCCATGCTCGTGACACAAGCCCACGTTGTACTGTGCTTTGCTGTAACCACGGTCTGCAGCTTTCTGGAAGTAAGCAAAGGCTGCTACGTAGTCCCTGTTCCTCATGTTCTCCGTCCCTGTGAGAAAGCACAGGGCACACACAGCTTCCTTTAGGAAGATGCCACAGCCTCAGCTAGACACGCAGGGGCTCCACGTCTCCTTTGTACTAGGCACTGGCATTTATTCCCATCCTCCAAATATCTCACCAGCTTGCCCCAGATTATCAGCCAGCTCTGCCCTGCTGTAAATGACCCGTCCCCTTGGAGTTCCAACACGCTCACTGCCCCTCTCCCAGGCTATCAGTCCGGGTGCCTGTGCTTTCCCCAACCATCGAGACTCTCAGGAATCTGACTCTTGATCAGTTGAACAAGGAGGGAAAAATAGCTCTTATAAGTCTATTCTGACAGCAGCAGTCTGGCGATACTATCAGCTGCTGTCCCCTGGGTCCCTGCAGCTTCGCTGATTCCTGTCTTTCCTGAAGCTTAGAAGGTCAAGAGATCCCAACAAATTCTGGCTTTAGTTAGCTGGAGTGAATTTACAGTGGCTTATACACAGCGAACCCTACCTGACAGCCGATATTGTTACTCTTCTCTGAGGGCACTAGAAGAAGTAATGTAAGGTGCTCTTTACGCTGCCCAAAAAAGGAAGCAGGAAAGTAACTCAACATAGCTCATGCTCAACGGTGCTCAGGCTGATTCCTGCTGCAACCTCTCTACCTCCACCGGCAGGCATCCTGTTTCTGTTCCGAAACCTTCAGACCACACTCAGGCTGTACCCACTTTTGTGGCATTTTCCTAATAGACTAAATCTTCTTCTATGAACTAAACTGTTTCAAGAGTACAAGCCCCATCTCCTCAATTAGACTGTAAAATCCTAGAGGCAGAGCAGAAAAAAAAAGAATGTAGGAGAAATAATTTTGCATAGGGTAAAAGCTCTATACAAATGCAAAATATGATTATAGCTTATGCTGCCTTTGTGTTCTATCACAGTGCTTAGTGCTGACTGAATAAATGAATATATGAATGAAGGAATGGGCAAGAAAATTCTAAGAAGAGGCTGCCCATCAAGATCACAAAAAGCTAATAAAGGAGAAACCAAGTTCCATTCAGCCAGCAGTGAATTAAAGTCGCCTCCCTGCTGCCTGAAAACCTGCCGTCCAGGGTTCTCGGAGCCTTCTGTCCTTGGGAGAAGACTTCAGAGGTCAAAGGGTCCCACCCTGTCCCCATCCCCCACACTGGCTCCAGCCTCATCACTTTATTCCTGTCTCTTTTTCCTCTAACCTCAAGCAAGCTACCATCACATTTTGCTTAGCTGTCAGTAACAGCTCTTACCTGGTCTCCTATTTCCTCTCTGGCCTCTCTACAATCCACACTGGTCTACATAACAGCCAGCACGATCTTGGGAAAAGTAAATCAGATCATGTGACTAACCCTTACTGCTCTGGTTAAAACCCTCCAATAGCCTCCCATCTCACTTAGAAAAGCTCCTGGCTCGGGCCTCAGCTGACCTGGGCCCTGTATACTTCTCTGACTTCATCTCCTATTCTTCCTGTGATCTCTAAGCTCCAGCTACATTCAGCAATCTTTTGTTCCCTTGGTAAATAAACTCAATCCTGCCTCAGGATCTTTGCACTCATTGTTTCCCTTGTTAGGAAAACCCTTTTCTCCAGACAGGAACAAAAGGGACTTGCTTGTGTCATCAGTTCTTAGCTTAAGAATTTTCCCTTCAGCAGACTTCTGATTGCAAAGCTATTCATTGCCCAAGTTACTAAACATTCCCCTGTTTCATTTTTTCTTTATTCTTTGAGACGGGTCTCCTTATGTAGCCACACTGTCCTTGAACTCAGGGTGCATCTCCTGCCTCAACTTCCCAAATGCTGGGATTACAGGTGTGCCACCATGTCCAGCTCTCCCTTGTATTACTTTCTTTGCAACATTTATCATCTGAGAGTTTCTATTTATTTGCCAATTTACTGTTTTTCTCTCCTTCAACTCACATGTGTATACCATGAGAATAAGGACATTGCTTTTTTTGTTGTTGTTGACACAGGGTGTTGCTGTGCAGTTCAGGCTGTCCTTGAACTCATCATGCAGCCAAGGCTGTTCTCAAATTTATGGTGATCCTCCTGCCTCAGCCTTCTGTGTGCTGGGTTACAGGCTTGTGCTACCGTAGTGTCTCACAACGTAGCTTTGTGAGTCACTGTATCTCTAGCACCTAAAATAGGGCCTAGCAAAAAATGGATACTCTGTCAATCTGTTCTAAATGAATCCTAGCCAGGCATGGTGGCACACCTATAATTTCAGCACTTGGGAGGCTGAGGCAGGGGGATCATTGCAAGTTTGAGATCAGCCTGGGCTATAAAGTGAGCTCAAGGCCAATTTAAACTGCATGGCAAGACCCTGACTCAAATGAGTAAGTAAATAAATAAATCCTAGCTTCTCACCCACCTTCCCACTAGACCCCAATAGATGCTGCTGGGAGTATGGGTCTCCGCAGTCAGAAGGCTTGGGACATGAGTCAAGTCACTGCAGAGCCAGGATAAACTGCAGAGGGAGTTTCCAGACCTAGCTTAAGAGTTCCCTATTCATGCACTTGAGTGCATGCTCCAAACTCCAGGAGTCTGTGTTTCCTAAGCATGGCAGAGAACAGTAAGTGTCCTACAGGGTTTACTTTCTCCTACCTACATAGTAAAACAGCTCTCAGGTAAGTACATGGCCATCTAGGTGAAGTCTACACTTCTCAGTGTTCCTGGGATAGGTGTGGCCATAAACCCACATTCGGGCTTTTGGACCTCCTAAGTCATTCTTGGTCCTTAAAGGGAGGGTTAACCCTTTAGCTTCTCCCACCAGCCCCCTTTCAGCTGGCTGGAATATGGATAGGGGAACAGAAACTAAAAGAGCAAGCTGGACCTCAAAGTGAAAGTCAGTTTTTGTTTTTTTGATGTATGCTTGTTTTTGCAGTACTGGGGATTTAACCTAGGGCCCTCACACTGAGCTACATTTCCAGTCCCTTTTTAAAAACTTCTGTAATTTTGAGGCTGGGTCTCACCAAGTTTCTAAACTGCTCAGGCTGAGCTCGAACTTGTGATCTTCCTGACTCAGACTTGCAGCTGCTGGGCACAGAAGGGCAGTTGTAGAATGGCAGAATGCGGGTGAATAAGAGTGGATGCCAGCTAGGCACAGAGCACATGCCTATAATCCCAGCAGCTGGAAGGCTCAGGCAGGAGGATTGCCACAAATTCGAGGGTAGCCTGGGCTACATACTGAGTTCCAGGCCATCCTGACCTTGTCTCAAAAAAAAAAAAGAGTGGGTCCCTGACACCACTGAGTTACATGCCAGATTTGGTTGATCTATGTGGAAGAAAAAAAATCTCTCATTTAAGTCACTCCCTGTGCTGACCATATCCTACCTAACCCACACCCTCCCTCCTGTCTTATCACCCTTCCTGGAGGCAGGTCCCCCAATTACCCAGGAAGTTGAAAGCAATGGAAACGCTGAGCTGGAAGAGCTGCTGAAGGGAAGCCACGGCCTCCTCAAGGGAAAGAGTTTTTGATTTATCTTGTTCCTGGGGAAGAAAAGCAGAGACACATGGAGGGCTGGTGCACCTGGATTGCTACCCAATTCGAGGACTGATACGGTGACAAAATCTGGCTAATACCTTCTTTTCACCAGGGTGCTGAGGCTGAGCTGGTGTTGGCTTGGACTCAAAGCTCCCGCTGGCATTCAGGAATTTGAAATTAGTGAGATCTGCAAAGGGAAAGCCTTCACCCAAGTGAGGCAAGGGAGAATATGACTTTGTTTTCCTTCTGCTCCCAGTCTTCCAGCCTCTCCATCCAGTACCTTTGCAGGGATCCAAACTAACTCTGAATCACCCCAGAAAGCATGGATGCTCACGAGAATGCCAATTCCCTTATCTGGGAATATACAGCAACAATGTCCCCCTTCCAACCCTTCACCCCATCTCTTCTTGTACAGACTGGGGTGAGGATGTACCTTCCTCAAGAGGCTCCTGAGGATCAGCTGCTCTGGAGGAGCTGACAGAGAAGTTCCCAGGCTCTTCTGGGTCCAGCCTGGGTTCCCGAAAGCCAACGTGCCTGGGGGCTAGGCCATCGGGGCCAGGGAGAACGTGCCTCCGCAGTGCTAAAAGGAACAGAAGGGGACTCGCGTCACAAGGGAGCCAGGTAAGCCTGAGCCGCTGGACCTGAGTCCCCCAAGGCTCTGCAAATCAAAGGAAGAACCCCAAAGAAACTCCTGGCAGGCCTCCTTCCCACTCCTCCTCCTCTACTACCTCTCCTGGCCCCATATTTACGCTGATCTCCCACCCTAAGCATAAATCTCTCCTTTTGCTTGAATTCTTCCAGCACAAAGTGGCATCTACTTTATTTACTGTTGTAGCGCTGTCTGCTAGCACTTTATTTAATGGTAATATTGATAAGATTATAATCATAACAATAAGGATAAGAACTAATACTTAGGTCTGTGATATGGCTCAGTAGTGCAGTGCTTGCCTGGTAAGTGTGAGACTCTGAGTTCAATTCCTAGTATCAAACAAGAAACAGAAAAAAGAAGATGATGAAGACAAAGACAAAGAAGAAGAAGCAGAAGAAGATGAAAATGAAGAAGATGAAGACGACAAAGACAACAAAGAAGAAGGAGAAGGAGAAGAAGAAAAAGAAGAAGAAGTAATACTTAAAACTAGTATCAACAAGCATTAGTATGCATTGAGCACTGTACTTTAGGCATGTTAACTCATTTAGTCTCCCCAAGAAACCTCTATAGTTTTACCATTATCCCACTTAAAGATGAAGAAACTGAGGCATGGGGAAACTGCTCAGAGATATAACACTAGCATATACGCCAGGCATGGTGGTGCACTTGGGAGCCTGAGGCAGGAGGATCACTGCAAGTTCAAGGCCAGCCTGAACTATACAGTAAAACTTTGTCTCAAAAAAGGGTATGGGAGGCAAACACTAGCATGTAAAACTAGGGTTTGAATTTTCATAACCCAACCTGATTCCAGAGCTTAACTACTAGTTCCTATGGCTCCTAATACATACAAAATACAGACCACTGAGGAACACCTGAATGACCAGAAAATGGCCTGACTCGTTAAGAGCTGGACAAGAAGTCACACCTAGGATCTAAAGTGGCCGGGCCTGATGTAGTCAGGAATCATAACAGGAACAAAGGACAAAATCATGGGCCCTTAACCTGTTGCTCTTAAAAAAACTTGGTATTTTCTTCTGAGGTAGCCAGAGACTTACAAGCAGTTTTAGCTAACATCCATGACTCTTTGCTTGCACCCACCAATAGGTAACTAAGCATAGAACAAAGCTTGACCAAACTTTTGTATCCTTTACTACCTTAAACTTTGAATACACCTGTTACTCACTTTTAAAAAGTCAACAGAACAAAGTTTCATTAGCCCTAAATTTATCAACCTCCCTTCAAGATGGAGAAGAGTAATAAGTCAGTTTCAGGATTCACAGGGACATCTGACAACCAGCCTTCAGGATTCCCAGTGTCAAGCCTTTTCCCCTTGAACCAACTCCTAAAATTCTCCAGTCATTGTCCTCTACCAGCAGCCACCTAGGTCTCAGAAAAAACACTGCAAACAGAAGCAGTGATTTTATAAAAGCCCCTCAGGCTGTAAGGGTTTCTCCAAAGTTAAGAAACTAGGGCTGCATCAACGGGACCTCAGCTAATCCCTAAGAGCCTGATCCTTTTCCTAAGAGCTCACCCCTTCCAGCTAGTACTAGAGCTGGAGTCTTTTCCCTACTTTTGCTCTTACTTTCCAAGTAAAGTTTTTACCTATAAACTCTCACTGTTGCTTAGTTTTAATTTCCATTATCACTAATGCAAGGACCCATGCTAGCTGGTGACAGACCTATAGGGCTCACTCATGGGAGGTGACAGGAGGACACAGAGGAATACTAAGGGGAAGGTGTGGCCCACACCCTGGGTGGGGAGACCTCCACCACCTTCCCCTTCCTCTGACTTCAGATAGGAAAGGCAAGGAGTTGCTGATGGCTCTTTTCCTGAGGTGTGTCCGGAGATGCTTCCTGACCCAGAGCAACTCCCACCCAGCCCTCCTGCCCCAGGACCTAGGACTCACAGGAGGGCGGGTGCCACCAGGGAGACGAGAGGAAACGGTCCAGGGGACTGCGCCAAGAGCGGTGCTCTGCCTGCCGAGGCCTTCTGGACAGCAACGCCTGGAAGTGGAGTTGTCTCGCCACCTGCAAGGCCAGCACGGCCAGGGTACCCTGGAAAAGACAGCACATCAGGGACATGGTCCCCTCCCTTCAGCCACTTCAGACTTGGCCCCCAAGACAATCATCACTCCCTTGGCGTAGCTCTCTATGGGCTCGGGGCACCCAAATCTCTCCTCTGATGCTTATCACTCATCACTGATTATTCATTGTAGGTCTACTGCTCCTGCCTCTACGCACAACAAAGGCAGGGACCATGCACACTTTGCTGACCAACAGATCCAAGATGCCCAGCATGGTGCTAAGTTGGAACAGGAGCCCAGGAAATAGATGCTGAATAAACCCAACACAAACAACTGAATAAAGAAAATGCAGGCAGGCAAAAAGATGATGTGGAAAGATGGGGCGTGGCACAAATGCAGCGACAAGTCCCCAGCAGGCACTCTCTCCAGCCTGGCACAAGCCTCTCTTTCCCGCCTTTACGGGTGTGGGCTTGTTGAAGGTGTCTTTCTTGACCAGTGACACCAGACCTGGCTGATTCCTTTTCCAGTGACTCCCTGACCTTCCATCTGCTGTGCTGTGCTCAGGAAAGGGACATCTACATACTTATTTGCTCCAATGGGCACTGTTACAATGGCAAATAAGACAATCACAGTCACTGTCCGCGTGAAATCTGTGTCTAGTGTTAAGAAAGACAAAACCCAGGTACACAGAAAAATAAACACCATAATTAGTAACTAGGCTAGATGCAAACAGGAAACCAATCAGCAGGTTACACAGAGCGTAAACAGGAGATCTGACAGGATGAGGGGTGAAGGAAAGCTCCTTTGGTGTGAGCTAAGGCCAGAAGGAAGGGGAATCAACATTGTGAAGGAAGGGACAAGTGTCCCTGCCTGTGGGGACAGCTTGTATATAGCTCCTTTTATACAGGCAGTGGGAACAAAGCTTAAAGTAGCACCAGAATCTCTGGAATATAGGTGCAGTTTCCAAATAAATCAGTGTGGGAGTCTGCCCTAGGGCTCTGATCTTTGGCAAAATGGAAAAATGATTCCTTGTCCAAGGTACCTTATGCCCTGAGTCCCCAGAAACCCACAAAGTAGTGTCCCTGTCACGGAGACACTCCAGATTTAACTCTGCTGATGACACCAATTTACAGGTTAAAAAGAGTGCGGCTCAGATGAGCTGGTGGTGCATAACTACAATCCCAGGATTTGGGAGGCTGAGATAGAAGGACAGCCAGGAATTAGAGGCCAGCCTGGACTCCACAGTGAATTCAAGGCCAGCCTGAACTAAAAGCAAGACCTTGTCTCAAAAAACCAAACCAAACCAAACAAAGTACAAAAGTAAAGCTCAAAAAAAAAAAAAAAAAAAAAAAAAAAAGGGAAGCTCAGCAGAGCATCTACATAACCCTAGTGCTCTAGGAGGCTGAGGCAAGAGGATCAAAAGTTGAGCAGAGCCTGGGCCATCTAGCAACTCAGTGAGCTCTTATCTCACAATTAAAAAACTTAACAAAGACGGGGGCTACAGCTCAATGCAAAGGCATGGATTCAATTCCCGTTGCCTTCTTTGCAAAAGTAAGGCCCAGAGGGGTGAAGTCATTTGCCTAAAGTACACAGCATGAAAGTCGCAAGCACAGGATATGACAGATATAAAATATAAGAGTGCTATATAGCTGGGCATGGTGGCATATGCCTGTAATCCCAGCACTTGGGAGGTGAAGGCAGCGGGATTGTTGTGAATCCAAGAGCAGAATGGACTACAAAGTAAGCTCAGGGCCAGGCTGAAGTGCATAGCGAGACCCTATCTCAAAAAGACAACAAACAAACAAACAAAAAACAGTGATATATGTGCCAATTTCATTCATAATGTGTTTGATCTGGACCTTTACCTAAAACATACACACCCTGTTCTGTTAGGCCTAGTGTTCACTACTGGGAATGTGACTTTATAGATCAGAGTCAACACGTGTTTATTGAGCAAGTATTATGGGCTAGGTTGTGTACTTTAACAGCTTTTACGAGTCATACTAGGCAATGCAACCAAATGATACAGCTTGAATTCCAGCATTAAATCTGGCTTCTCACTCAATACCTGCAACCTTTAAACATGTCACTTAATATTTTAGAGCCTGAGTTTCCTTATGTTCAAAATGAAGGTTACATTTTCCTTACAAGACTTTTGTAAGGAATAACTAAAACAATGCATGTTGAACAGTTTACATTAATAACAATATGCAATTTCCTATCATCTTGTTTTAAAATTCTGTATCATTTCTATTCTCTTAAAAATTAAAAAAAAAAACAGTAATGCTACCTATTAAGTTATTCCTTATTCACTGTAAGCTCCATGAAGGCTAGAATTTTATCTACTTTGTTCTCTGCTATGTCTCTTAGGGCCTAGAAAAGATGCCTGGCTTGGAGAAAGTATAAGTAAATGTTTATTGAATGAAATAAAGAATAAATACACAGCAGGAGCGGGTGTGTATGTGTGTGTGTGTGAGAGTATCTCCGTGAATATGCTCCAGTGCTATGGGTTCACCGAGTGAACATAATGCTTATCTCTGAGTTTTAGACGTGAGTATTTCTCTGTACAGGCCCATTCCCATCCATGCTGAAGGCAAAGATTAGAGCTGGGGAAGCCTTACCCATGAGACGGCATCCCACAAGGTGTGCGGGGAGACCCGAGCAGACATCCACTGGAAGGCATTCTTCCATCTGTGGAACTTTGGATTCCTGCTTGTACTTGGGCCATGAGGGCCTGACCTAGATAATGCAATTAGAGGCTATGGAGTTTTGTTTAAAACATGGGCAAAAAAAGGCCAGGAGACTAGACTGGAGTAGAAATTGCAATGTCTCACCTGTCAACATTGGGCACAGAGACCAGCAAGGAGGAGGAAGTTGCCTGAGGCCCATCTGGGCTGGTGGGCTTGGGGGTCACCCCACGAAAGTCAGGACTGAGCAGACGGGGAAGAGCTGTATAGAAAACAAAAATCAATTTAATAGGAACAGGACTGAGACAAAGTGGCCCAACAATCTTGCCTCTAACCTGAGATGGCATTTTACCCTAGGGACCCAGGAGTCACTGGCATCTGTCTCTGGTGCTCCTCTTTTTTGTGGTGCTGGGAAATGGAACCCTTTATGCATATAGCAAGTGTTCTACTACTCAGCAACTTCCTCAATTTTGCAATGGTTTTATTTATTTTTTTAGGGGAGGGAGCTGAGATAGGGTCTTGCTACATAGTTCAAGTTGTCCTCGAACTCATGGCGATCCTTCTGCCTCAGCATCCTGAGTACTGGGATTACAGGTGCAGTGGTTCTGAAATAAGGATACACATGGACATCTTTAGCCTAGTAGAGATTCTAAGGGACCACTGCAGAACAAATACACCAGTATCTCTCGGAATGCAGCATCCACGTTTTGAAAAATCTCTCCCACGTGACTCTGTGTTCTACAGTCGGTGACAACCTTGGTTCCACGAGCACACTATGGCCCCATGTTCAGAGGGCTTGTCTATAAACCTCTCTGTTCCGTCGCTTCGCCCACTCCATCGCCGCCCTTCGCTGGCTCCTACCCTGCCTAGAGCTGCGCCCACACTTCGTCACTTCTCTACTGCGTCTTCCAATTCCAGGGGCCCCAGACTTCAAGCCTAGGTAGCCCGCCCAGTCCCCGCCCACCTCCGCTCTAACCCCGCCCACCATGGCTTTGGCTGTTCTCTCACGTGGGTCCCCCTCCCCACACCCCACTTTCCCGCTCAGAGTCTCCCGCTCAGCGGCCTTCAGACGCCGGCAGTTCAGACGTCCGCTACCTCGGCCCAGGAGTCCCGACAGGCGCCACATGTTGCCAGCACCCTGGAGAACCCGAGCCGAAAAGAACAGGCCAGAGCGCGGGCCGGCGGCTACACAGGCCGCCGGGGTGCTGCGCGGCTGACTCCCCGAGACGCAAGCCCTCGGCCGGCCAATAGGGAAGAAGCCCGCCGGAAGGACGAGCGCCCCGACAGGAAGAGGGCGCGGAGGTGGACTATGGGGCTCACCGGGAAGTGAACCACGAGAGGGTGTGGCTTGCTTGCTGGAGGGAGCGGACGAACCTCTGACGCTCAGCCAGTCTGGAGATCGCACCCGGAGGGGACCTTCCGGTGGCGAGGCCGGACTGCGCGGAGCAGCCCCTGGGGCAAACGGGGCTAGAGAGGACTTGCAGACTCCGTGGAGCTGCAGACGGGAGGAGGCTCCCTGGGCCCCGAGGCTCGGTGGGTGGAGAAGAGGGGCCCGAGGGGCTTTAGGTTCCTACGAGGAAGCCGGTTAGCAGAGCTTCCCTCCAGGGCTGTCCTCTTGGAAATGCCGCGCCTGGGCCCACTGTGTAGACGGTGAGAACTGCACAGGGCAGGATTCGTATTCCTGTGTTCTAGCTCTGGCCTAGCGTTGGCTTGGTGTTTAACCTCAGGCCGACCGCGTCTCTCTTCAGGGCTCAGTTTGTGCGGTGTTGGGGGCAGATGGAAAAAATGGCAGGTTGAGACTCCTAAGATGCTCCTTTCAAAACACCAGAGGAGATACACGCTCTGTTAATCCGCGCCCTCGCCTGCAGATCCAGCAGTGTTACGTGTGTGTTCTTTTGCGAAACAGAACAGTTTTCCTTTCATTACACTTGAATCCGTGACATAAAATACTCAAATTCGAATGTACGATGTTCAAATTTCCTCCCCATCTTCTTCCCCCAGATATGTGACTTTTAGGTGGGTGAAAGTGCCTATGCGGAATAAAGGAGTAACAGGTTCTACTTTTAGGCCCAGGCAAGTGCTATGAAAATTGTTTAAATTTATTAAACAACTTTTGAGCCATGGCAGCCACCATCCTTGAATCTGAGAAGAGAAACAAGTAAAATGTATTTATGGCTTGCAGGAATTCATGGTCCAGTAGATTATGAGTGGACTCTAGAGTCTCACAAATCTGGATTTGAATCCCAGCTTTCTAATTTTATAGGTATGTTATTTTGTGCAGGTTCCTTAAGCACACTAAGCCTCTTCATCTATAAAATAGGGAAAATTGCAGGGGCTTCATACAGTGATGAGGCTTAAATAAAATAATAGATTAAAAATGTTTAGCTTAGTTTTGACATGGCACACGCCCGAGAAACGTAATTGCCATCATTTACGGTAGTGGAGGGAGTAGGCAAATGTAAGAGACCACGTGCTTATAGAAGCAGCAGCAGTGAGTTGTGGAAGGACTCAAAAGGATTATGTTTGAGCCAGGCCTTTAAAAATGAGTTAAGAGTTTTCCGAGTGAGGAAGAGAGGAAGACATTACAAGTAGCAGAAACAAAATTAAACGAGAGCCCTGGAGTTGAACTATTGGAAAACTTCAGAGATATCCTTGAATATTTTGGGATTTGGGACAGCCACCTTCACGTTACTTATGTTACCATCTCCAAATAAAATGACAAATGTGCTGGCTTTGCCGCTGCTGGAGCTTCTGAGTCGTCCCAGCTCGGCAGTGAAGACTCCCCAACTGCTTGAGCCCTTGCTGCTCTCTGCTTTTTCTAATTCCTGTAGCATTTTAGTTTCTTACCATACAGTGTAGCAGTAATTACGTGTTGCCCTGTTTTTTTCAGTTGTCTCATTTGCATAAGTCTAGTCTCCCAAGTTCTTTCTGTTAGGGCAGGTATACCACTTTCCCATTTTGTGTCCCTCATGGGGCTTGACGTAACTGTAAAGCCAGGGAATATGTTCAAATAATGCAGGTTCACTTGACCTAACACCTTCTGCTGATGGTGATTGCTGCTAAGAACACCAGTCCCATATACACATTCACTGAGGGCCCTGTCTGAAGTTAAAGGATTTTAAAGGCTCTGTAGCCCATGCCTGTAATTCCAGCATTTCAGAAGGCCGAGGTAGGAGGATCACAAGTTCAAGTCCCACTTGGGCAAATTAGCAGGACCCTGTGTTGAAATAAAAAAATGAAAAGGGCCAGACTGAGTCCAATCCCTAGTCCTCGCTCCGCAAAAGAAGGGTTTGGAGCAGAGGTAAAGCATTGTCCGGATGCATACAGACCACTTGAGTGAGGCTTAGAGGATGAGGGCAGCTGGAACCCTGGCTGTGGAGTCAGATCACCTAGTCACTGCTGCCCACAGGGCTATCAGGAACAGCAACTTTGTTTCCTTGACCTTTGGCTTTGTCTGAAACACCAGCCCCAAAGCCTCAGACATTCTTTTCTCCTGCTGTGTGTTGGTGGATTGTGGCCTAGAGTCAAGCTGATTCAATCCCTCTACATAGGTAAACTTTCTTATACTGGGAGTCTATTGACCTGGCGCCCAGTTAATCACCTCTTAAAAATGTGTACACGTGCATTGTGTACCTGCCACAGAGAGCATTCTAGACATTAGCTGTTGCCTTGGTTTTTATTATATTTTATTTTGAGACAGGGTCTCACAATGCAGTTCAGGCTGGCCTTGAACCCAATATGGAGCCAAGGCTGACCTCAAACTCATGGTGATCCTCCTGCCTCAGCCTCCTAAGGGCTAGGATTACAGGCATGGGCTGCTCTGCCTGGCTTTATAGACATTCTTTATTTGTATTAATCAAATACATGAAAGCTTCACTTCAGTGCTTGAGAATATCCTGAATATATTATAATTTTAAAAAGTGGATGTGGTCCCTGACCTCACAGAGAAAATGGTATGCTAAAGCCAGGTGTGGTGGCACATGCCTGTAATCCCGGCACTCAGAGGCTGAGGCAAGAGAATCACCATGAGTGTGAGGCCAGTCTGGGCTACATAGGGAGGCCCTGTCTCAGAAACCAAAGGGGGGAAAAAGTATAGCAGGGCAAACAGAGTCAACAGGCAATTAAAATACAGAATGGTGTTTTAATTATATATTGCAGCATAATAACCACTTCAAGATTGAGTGGCTTAAAACAATTATCTTATCTCTCACAGTTCTGCAAATTGACTGGGCTCAGCTGGATAATTCTGCTGGCCTCACTCGGGGTCTCTCCTGAGGCAGCAGTTAGATGGCAGCCGGAGCAGGAATTGCTGTACACAAGTGGGGCTCTAGAGACACAGGGCCTCTCTCCTTCTCCGTGTAACCTCAGGGCCCCTCTGTTCCACATGACTTCTCCAGCCAGGTGGCTGAACTTCATGCATGATGGTTCAGAGCTTCCAAAATGCAACAGCGGAAGCTGCCAGGATTCTTAGTTTAAGGCTAGAACCCACCGGGCACCACTTCCTGCACCCTGTGGGTTTAAAGCAGTTTACAAGGCCAGCTCCAAATCAGTGTGGGAGAAGAATACTAGGAAAGTGTTTCTTCAGAGATCAGCAAGTTCTGCGGTGGGGAATATCCAGGGTGCTATGGGAACCCCAACAGACACCTAGGCATGGAAGTCTGGAAGGCGTTTCGGAAGCAGCAGTGTTTAAAACTGACCAACCTGAATGATGAGGGTTAAGAATTAGTTAGAGGATGAAGAGAAACACAGTTCAGTAAGGGAACATAATGCAGAGTCCCACAGAGGTACAGAAAGTATAATTTAGGAAAGAAAGCACCAATCAAGATCACTGCAGCTTGGATAAACATAGATAGGATAATGACTGGCCTTTAATTTGGAGAGATGTAAACGGGACCCTAGGAAAGATTTCAGTAGAAGAGCGATTAAGCAGGTCTGAATCCAAGAAAGGCTTGGAATTAGAGAAGGCTAAGGCCTTGTTTTTACCATGTCCCTTCTCAGCCAGCGATCTCACCTTTGTCATCAAGAATCCTGGCTCATCCCCTGAGTGCTGGTATTAGTTCTTTTTGCTTTTTATTAGTGAGAATTTCTATCATAAAAGAATATAGGCTGAGGATTTAGCTCAGCAGCGCAAGTGCCTGCCTGGCAAGTGCAAGATCATGAGGTCGATCACCGGAACCAAAACAGAAATAAATTAAAATAAAAGAATCCAAACAGATGGAGGGAGGAGGAAGGTGAGGGAGAGGAAGGGTTGTAAAAAGAATTAAGGTGTGGTATGTGTATATACTAACTCCCCAAAATGAATATAATCACTTATGTACTAATAAAAAGTTGAAAGAAAAAAATTTTTTAAATGAAAACTTCATTATATAAATATTTCATTTTGTTTCTTTTGTTTTTAGAAGAATATGTGAAAAACCTGCTACCAGATAAAGACCTGGACACCAGGATGGTCAGGTGGTCAAACAATTTATAATTAAGTGTGAAATATTAAAAAAAAAAAAAAAAGAAAGACTGCTGGCAGGGAGCAGAGAGCATGCCAAGCTCAGTGGATTTGGCCCCTCAGATACAAAGATAAATGAAATTGAAGTTATCTTTTCATTGCTAATGAAAAGATAATGTAAAAGAGGACAGGGAAGGTCATCGAAGGAGCTCCTACTCTAGTAAAAAGTCCTAAAGGTTTATTTCAAAAAGCAGCAGACCTCTCCTATATGCTCTGTACCCCACGGGCCTATTTCCTAAAGGTGACCATTTTCAACTCTTTGAATCATTCAGAGGCAGCACACAAGGGTGGGCCTTCTGGAAACGGATTGATTGACATCCAACACAATTCTTCCACTCACCCTTCCCAGTTTTCTTGGTCAAGTTGATTAGAACATCTTTTCCCTGAGTTTTCTCATCAGTAAGATGGGGTTAATGATAATTGCACCCTTTCCATGAGCTAACATTTAATTTTCCAGGTGAATAGTTAATGCATGATAGGACATATGATGCTGCTGCTGCTGT